ATACTTATATTGATGTTGTCTAACAAGGTGAAAACTGACTGTCTGTAGGTGGATCATTTTGTTTAATATTTTTGTATCCATTGCTAATCTCAAAAGATATGTTAAAAGCAACAAGACTGAATACAAATGAGAAATAATATAACATTTGCTTAGGCATGCAGCATATTTTCCTGTTAATAATTTTTAACTGATTTGTGCTGTCCCCATTGTGTGCACTAACATTCTTCTGCCCTAAATATTTAATATTTTGGCCCAAATTATAATTTATAAGGTTTAACACAGGTGTAATTCCATTTAAATGTCAACTATCCTACCATCACTTTAATTGGAAGGTACCTACTAAATATGATCAGCAATTATACCTGATAATGACATTTACTACTCAGTGTATTAGAGTGCTAATGCAAAAAGTATAAATATAATGCTCATGTTAACATAAAGAGTCTCCAGGAAACCACAGAAACTGCAACACCTATTCCTATTCACAGGCTGGCACGAGGGGCTCACCATTCGATTATTGTGTAAACCATATGATGCCATGTTCATAGGATTAGGCAAACACATGGAAACACATTCCTTGTAGGTTTCAAAGCTTTAACAGTTCTTCCAAATTTTCCAAATTTGGCAGAAATTCAGTTGTGAAACTAAAAATATGCCAGTGCTTACTAGCCAGACGCCGCATTTAACACTTTTTTTTTTTTTTTAAATAGTCCTGTAGGGGTCTATTCAAGTAGATCGCAAGACACTTTTATTTTACTGTCATGGTGAGTGATTGTTGTAAGATTCTATCTGTCAGTGTCAAAGAGCTAAATGACCCTGACAAATGACACCTAGCAGTACAAGACATGCATAAGTCGCATATTGTGATTATATAATTTCAGGAAACTTACTTTTGTGTATGCAATCCTCCGCAGATTTGGTCCAAAACATACCCCAAATCATACCAGGCATACGCCACACATAAATCTAAATCAATTTCCATATTCTTCCATAAAGATTTGAGTTTCCAACTCACTAATAAATATGTTGATGACTTGGGGCATTAATTAATCTCAGTGGGTACACTGAATGGCGGTCAAATGACTAAAGCATCCATATGCGCTCCAAGCGACTCTCAAATATTCGTTTTACGTAAATCACTGAAAAAGATCACCTCACTAGGGCAGGGACACTTTATAATTTGTGGAGATTTTAATTCCACCTTGAACCCTGAGTTGGATGGCAAAAGGGATATGGGCAGGCGCCCACTCTCAGTGAGGAATAGTAAGGCACTGTCCAACTTCCTACACCTGCACGACCTGTATGACACATGATGCACCGCCTTCACAGACGAAAGAGATTATACATATTTTTCTCCCACACACTTGACCTACACCCACATAGATATGTGTTTTGTGAATAAATCCACATTACCAAATATTAAGGAGGTTTCCATAAGCCAGAGATTTTGGTCTGACTAGGCTCTGGTCATGGTATCACTCAAATCATTGTACCTGACTAGAGGAAGAGTCAAATGGAGATGACATGAATCCCTGCTAGACGACATAAAACTGCTATCTAAAATGGCTTCATCCATAACTAATTATTTCCTTGATAATAGAACAGAGGACTCGACCATTTAAGTACAATGGCTTCCTCATAAAGCAGTAATTCATTCATCCAAATGGGCTCTTTTCCAAAACAAATCTTCCCTAAAAAACCAAGGAGGATATCGCCAAGGAACTGGAACTTTTAGATACATCAGAAAAAAAAGCCCCATCCCAACATACCACACAAAAATAGCAGTTTTACGAAATCCTCTAAACGCACAATCACTGAAAAAGGTAGAAACACACACGCAGGCTCTTAAACTCTGTTACAAAATGCATGGCAATAAAGTTGGAAAATTATTAGCGAACAAACTGAAAACTTAATATTTACAAACAAAAATTCTGTACAATAACTCTACACAAAACACAAAACTATAAAATCCTTCTGACATAGTGAATGAGCCAGCAAGCTTCTACAAATAATTAAAAAAACTTAAAAAATGACCTTACAGTGCCACAGCCCAACATAGACAACATAGAAGACTTGCTAAACCTGATAGACTTACTAAAAATCACATGCTAACAAATGCAAATGTTGGATACACCATTCACGGAAGAAGAAGTTCAAAAAGCTATTACTTCCCAAACATAAAGCCCAAGCTCCCGATGGACTGTCCAATTATTATTATGTTGAAATGGCTTCATAGCTGACCTCCACCTTTCCAAATTCTTTATTTATAGCGTGCAAAGAAATAACATAGTGTTCAGTAAGCCACAACAGCCTCTGCACACAGATCGATAACAAGTCATATAAAACAGGGTTATGGCATTTGTATAAATCGCACATTTTAAAGATTTTATGGTAGCTTAGCTTTCAGGCTAACTAGTAGATGTCTGGAGCTACTGTGAAGGGAGAGTGGCTGACCTTTGCATAAACATAGGCATGTGGCTAATCATTGTAAGGTAGTACGGTGAGTGAAGTATGAGGAGATGCATTGAGCTGTTAGCTAATATAGACATGCTGAGTTGTTATGCTGAACAATACTGTAATTGTGCCACTGGGTACTGGTAGCAATTTTCTTAGTTGAAGGTAGCTCCATTTTGCCCACAGAGCATAAGAAAACAAAATAAAGACAACATGAGCGAGAACATATGAAAAAGGACACAGGTACTGTGTTACGACAGCCCTCGTATGCCACACTTCAGTAGCCTCAGCACAGTAGAGAGCGGTAAGGCATTTTTTAAATTAAGGTTCACTTAGTGCTTGTGTCAGGTAAGAGTGCGCTGTGGTATGTTATCTTAAATTTACATGTTACGTTGAGTAATGTAGGGCGTGATAATGGTGACAAGACCGTGGGTCTAGGAGAGTGACCCAGCCCTGTGGGCCTTATGTAAGGAAGCAGTGGTCCTGTCTTACACTTAGGCAAAACTGTGGTCAGTCGGGTGTGTTGATTGTTGATTTACACTCAGTTACCCCAGAGTGTTGGGGGGGGGGTGAGCGTAGGGGAATATCCGGTGTCTGTGTCCTCTAATCGGGACATATTGTAAGAAGTGTGCGGTCGCCAAGGGTCATCTGTATTATCTATGACCCGGGAACTCTAACAGTGCCGGGCGGTGCTGCATACTAACGAAACATTAAAATGATAACATTTAAACATTTAGACATTTAAACATTTAAACATCAGGGGTTGACCGGTATCTGGTACTGGTGTGGGAATCAGTCCAGGTCTTTGTGACTGCTGGTGCATCACGAGTCAGCCGGTGTCATCTGCAGAGCGTGGGGTAAAAGGGTGTCCATCTGTGACTTGGACATGCCGTGTTGTCAGAAGACATGGTAAAGCCCAGTCCTTGCAGGAATGTCGCTGAGTCCTCTGCGGTGGAAAGCTGATGCATGCTCCCGTCTTTCTGGACTATTAGAGCTCGAGAGGGCCCCCATTTGTAGCTGATGTCTGCAGAGCGTAGGATCTTTGTCACCTGTTGAAAATACCGTCTCCATTCCAGAGTGGAGCGGCATAAGTCCTGTAAGAGTTGGAGTTGCATTTCCTCGAACTTAAGAGGTGTTCTGGATTTTGCAGCATCCTGCAGAGCCAGCTTGTCGCAAAGTAGCAGGAAACGTATCAGGACGTCTCGGGGAACCCCAGCCGGGGCCCTGTTTGACTTAGCCAGTCTGTAGCAGCCGTCTACCTGAATGCCCTTCACAGAGCGCTGTGGCAGTAGGGTAGTCCATAGCTGGCGTAAGAAATGGGGCAGTTCCTGTTCGGTAACTGATTCGGCTATACCCCTGATTTTAAAATTATTACGCCTCCTTGCGTCGTCCTGGGTGTCCAGTCTGACCTGCATGCTTTTGTGTGATGCTTGGAGCTGTAGCAAGTGCTCGTTGGTGCTTTCTTGCTTTTGGGCTAGGGAGGTTATGGCATCCTCGTTAGCCTGCAGTCTTGCTGTCACCACTGTTATATCCTCACGCATAATATTCAAGTCTGCATTGAAGAAGGCTCTTATGTTCGTTAATAGAGCTTTGATGTCCCCTTTTGTAGCTGGGGCTCTTAGGTCTTCCTCTCTTTGAGGGCTGTTCATGCTCCCTGGACAGGGGATTTCGTCAGGTGCGTCTAGGATTTCTTCCTCAGAAGACGTATAATAGGCGTCTATGTGTGGCGCCATTTTGGGCCTAGGCCGCGGCTGTAGGAGGTCAGCAATATCGCGGGAGCCGTTCCCGGTAAGGGTTTTTAGCTTTTTCGCCTTCTTCCCCATTGTGAGCTGTATTGTTTGACCCGGTCCCGGGCTGGTTTAGGGTAGGTAGGTGCCCCAGTACTTGCCGTTTATTATGCCCGCCGCGGGAGCTTAGCCGACATGCGTCTGCTCTCTTCAGCGTTGAAGCCACGCCCCCTTATATCATGTTTTGAACATTTAGTTAGGCACATTAAAACTAGGAGAATATTTCAGGATAAGACACTGTAGAATATTGCATATTCTATGTTTCTATTGATTATATATATGGATGTGTGGATTGACATAAGTAACAGATGGTATCAATAAGTCACAAGGCTTTCTTTGTCCGAGAGCTCTGGAATGTGGGTGTGGGGGTCTTGTCCTTATATGGCTAGAGTTATATGCTGACGTTAGTATTAGCACATCTAGATAGTAACAGAGGGACACGAGGTCGGTCTCACTCTTGGCTCGGCTCTGTACAACGATGTAACTCTCCCATCAGAAGTCCAGCAATTACCATCTGCTGTTGAATGTCCATTATCCTGTAACATCATTTGTTGTTTTATGTATCCGTAACTAAGAATAAACCTGAAGAAACCGTAAGTCAGATTGCGTATTACTACTTTTCAATAATATAGACATATATTATTGTGGCGAGCATTTGGCCCAAGATTATATATACAAAAGACGTATATATATCAATCAACTGAAGATAAGAAGAAATTAAGAAAGAGTCTACATTAACATCCATTCATCTATAGTTTTTTACATTGGCTAGCCAGCCAGTCTTCTATTCAAAGTTTTGTTCCCAATTCAAGGGGGGAGAGAGAAGAATCGAGTTACAAAGCTATTTTGGAACTGGGAAAACAAACTTGAAGAGAAAAAAAGAATCTAGATTAGCATAGAAGAACGGTGGTTTGTAAGAAAAGGAAAGTTTTCAAATCAAAGACTGTACAAGACTATTTTCTACAACTGAGACAAAAAGCACAAGATACAACGTGAATTCTAGAAGCAAGCACGTGGCAGAGATTGGCACGCGTCCAGAATCAAGCGTCCAGAACTGCGCAGCTGTGTGGATGAAGCAACGAAATAGACAGAAATAACTGATCTGGTAAAGCGTGACAGATCCTTGTGGCAATAAATTAGGAAAGCATTCCTTCAGACATTTGGATATCGACTGTTGGAAAGAGACTTTTCATCTGATCTGCAAACTGTGATGGAAGATTCTACAGAGTTCATTCGATACAGAAGATTAACAGACTTACAAAGAAATAAAAGATTGACACTAACATACATATATATTCCTAAATATTAATGAAGAAAACAGACAATGAAAAGTTATTTAACAGTTATAAGTATTAATACCAAAAGAGAGTACTTATAACAATATAACACATGGAGTACAATTATGATAGGATAGTATTATGAAAATAACTATTACATTATTACCTATACATAGAATGAGAAGTATCAGACGTAGATAAAATATGAAGTTGATAAAATTACTTAATTCTACAAAGATTGAGTTCAATAGGATTTCATAGATAAATTATAATAATTAATTTGTTTATAATCGAGGTGAAGTAAAACAAACAATGGTAACAAAAGGAAGAAAACTAAGGAAGGATAATTTATATTGATTTATATTAAGTAATTATATACATTAAGAAAGCCTTGGATATAAGAGTTCAAAGATCCAAGAGGAATTGAATTGAATGGAAAGAGTATAGTACACAATTATATTTGACCTAAGTCTATAAAAGGTATGGACTAGGGAGAATAGGTTTCTGGATATGACGGTATCCAATGAATTGAATAAGTTGTTAAGTTGTTTTATGATTACCCTGAGTTTGTTAGACACAGACTAGGAATAAGAGTTTCTGGGCAGTATGATCCCAAGTTTATTTTTGTTTATTTTATTTTAGTCAGTTGAAGTGTACTAAGGAATATGGATTGGTCAGAACATTAGGACAATCCTGCTTTTAAGATGTATTACATTAATAAGTCATCACAATGCTAATGAAGAGAGTGATGCTAATGAATTTAAATTGTTCTTTCCAAGTTCTTTTAAAGTAAACTATGTTTCTATTGAATTTAAAGTTTGTTACTACAAGGTGGAATTTTAGTGAAAATTATAATTATGTAAACTAAAACAAATCTATGATAGAAAGATTTCTGGGTGAAGAATTTCTAAATTGAAGAATTATTATAGAACTTCATGGTTGATAACACATCCTTTGAATGAGACTTATAAGTAGTGTTGATATATTTCAGGTAGTGAGAGCCTACTGAATATACAAATTAAATACTATGATTGTAAAGTACTGATACAATCATCACTAGGTGGTATTAATGGTATAGGAATGTAATTCATGAATACAAATGACCTAAAGATTTTAAGGTTGCTAGAAACCATATGATTCATGGAAATATAATTGGACAGGATATTATAGTAATACATGTATTAGTATTTTAGTAATATCAGGTATTGAGAATGAAAATACTATACTATATATGTGTCTGTAGGAATATGATAGTGAAACACAGTTATTATTATTTAGAAAGTTACGATCTTGATTTTGTTGTCTACAAAGACATGATTGTACCTGAGCAGGTAGATCTTTCTGATTGCTTTATTGTTTATTGGATCAACATTTGTAAATATTTTATTTTATTCATTTATTATTGTTATATATATGTATATATTATGTTCAAGTAGTTATGATGTAATATGGATATGGATATCAATACATAGCTGAAACAGAGGGAGTTTTGAAGTAAAGTAAGCAGTATGAGGGATAGAAACTCGACCTTCTAAGAACTCTCATATAATAGAAAGTTGTGACTTCATCTTGTTCTATGCTCAATGAATGTGATACAAGTGATGTATGAATGGACAGGTTAGTGACATTGTGTTATGGTTTTAAAACAAACCATAAACAGAGGGAATGTAGAATATTGCATATTCTATGTTTCTATTGATTATATATATGGATGTGTGGATTGACATAAGTAACAGATGGTATCAATAAGTCACAAGGCTTTCTTTGTCCGAGAGCTCTGGAATGTGGGTGTGGGGGTCTTGTCCTTATATGGCTAGAGTTATATGCTGACGTTAGTATTAGCACATCTAGATAGTAACAGAGGGACACGAGGTCGGTCTCACTCTTGGCTTGGCTCTGTACAACGATGTAACTCTCCCATCAGAAGTCCAGCAATTACCATCTGCTGTTGAATGTCCATTATCCTGTAACATCATTTGTTGTTTTATGTATCCGTAACTAAGAATAAACCTGAAGAAACCGTAAGTCAGATTGCGTATTACTACTTTTCAATAATATAGACATATATTATTGTGGCGAGCATTTGGCCCAAGATTATATATACAAAAGACGTATATATATCAATCAACTGAAGATAAGAAGAAATTAAGAAAGAGTCTACATTAACATCCATTCATCTATAGTTTTTTACAGACACTCCTGCAAATGAACAATAAATTACTTTGTTTGCAGACTATGTTCTCATGTATCTCACCCAAAGTGATCTATCCCCAATCTGCTCAAGCTCTTAGAAACATAGAATGTGATGATAGATAATAATGTTTGGCCCATCTAGTCTGGTTCCAATTTTCTAATACTCTCATTAGTTCCTGGCCTAATTTTATAGTCAGGATAGCCTTATGCCTATCCCACGCATGCTTAAACTCCTGGTGGAAGGCTATTCCATGCATTCACTACCCTCTCAGTAAAGTAATACTTCCTGATGTTATATTTAAACCTTTGCACCTCTAAATAGAAAAAATAGAAGAAACTTAGAAGACTACAGCAGAATCTTGTACTATAGGAAAAATAAAACAAATAGGCAAGCACTACCAATTTGTCTTCCATCCTCTGTGACACAAACACTGCAACACCGTTTTACTTTTGATTGGAGGAATAAAGCATTACAATATTTAGGAATAAATCTGACAAAAAATTATAAATCCCTATTTCACAAAAACCACATGGCCTTACTTCATGATCTTACTAACCATCTGAATAAATGGACAGACCTCAACATGTCATGGCTAAGAAGTATCCACACTATTAAAATGATGATACTACCACACATCTTATATCTCTATCAAACCATAATGATAGCATTATCAAACAATATATTACACTCCGCTCTGCCCGTGATCACCTCCTGTCTGTTGTCCGCACCCGTACGGCCAACTCGCGCTTGCAGGACTTCTCACGGGCGGCTCCCTTCCTATGGAATAGCCTGCCTCCCGCCATCAGACTCTCCCCTAGTCTTGCATCTTTTAAGAAGTGCCTTAAAACCCATCTCTTTAGGAAAGCTTATGGCCTCCAAGACTAACCCCTACCTCACATACCTGTCTCTTGCCCTCTCCTAAAGGGCAGCCCACCTTATTTGATTGCAAATTCCTGTCCTAATGTGTTTTACACCCCACCTCCTACAGAATGTAAGCTCGATTGAGCAGGGTCCTCTTCAACCTATTGTTCCTGTAAGTTTATTTGTAATTGTCCTATTTATAGTTAAATCCCCTCTCATAATATTGTAAAGCGCTACGGAATCTGTTGGCGCTAAATAAATGGCAATAATAAATAATAAATAAATAATACACAGATTTCAATCAATCCTAAAAGTTTGGAAGATAAAACCCCCAAGGATAGCCCAAGGAATGTAGTGGCTCACGTTTCACAAGGGGGAGCCTGAACATTCTGGATGTTCAAACATACTATAAAGCCTCAATCCTTCAACATGGCATGGGCGTTCTGAAATATCCCAGACCTCTTATATGGCTTAAGCTCGAAAATGCCTGCTGCTATAACTACCGAATAGAAAGTCGGTTATGGCCATTGCTTTCCTTAATACAAATTTGAAACCAAAGTCTTCCAAGTACAAAATTCGTGTTGAATAGCTGGAAAAACTAGAGCAATTATAGGCATTACAAACGCCCTTCAAATGGCACCAGACATCCGCTTAGGAAATTGAAGTGGAGGTGGGGCAATCACTATTGGCTCTTTATGTAATTCCACAGGAATAAAACCATTCTTAGATTTACAATGATTCTCTCTACCCCTGAAGGAAATGTTTTACCTATTTGAGAATTAAAACATTATAATGTCCAACAGAATAACTTCTAATCCTTTCATACAAACCACACCCTTTCTTCAATATTGCACTAACGCAAACAAAATGAACAAAACACTATGTATTTAAATGCACTGAATGATACATGAACTAGTGAAAAGGCACCCTACACACTACAATGGGAAAAATAATTGAAAATCTCAGCAGACCTTACAGAATAGTTACAGGCTCTATGCTTAAACATCAAATATAGCAATAGTCTATATAAGAGGTAGGCACCCTTTTAGTAGTACTGTGCCACATGGAGATTTTCAAGACCCTTGGTGTGCTGGTACGTTTTTTTTTTAAAGTGAGGTGTTTATGTTGCTGTATTCTGCCTGTGTTATTTGTGGGTGCTGCAGTTGCTTTATAGCATTTTATTTGTGCCTATGTGGGCTGTTTTATTGTATAGAATACGTTCATGAGTAGTTTGTGGCATTGTGTATGGTTGTGTATGATACCTATTAATGTGGACTGTGTATGGGGGCTGCTTGTAGAATTGTGTGTGGATGATATGTCACATTGTGTGTTTGGTGTGTGTATATGTGCAGTTTAGGGAATAAGATCCATGAACTTGTGGCAATATCGGCAACTGATAGTGTAGATTTAGTCGCTGTAACTGAGACATGGTACAATGAGAACAATGACTGGGACATAGCAATACCAGGGTACTCTTTATATAGAAAAGACAGGGAAGGCAAGAAAGGGGCAGGGGTGGCCCTGTATGTGAAGGATAGCATAAAATCTAGCCTAATAAAAGTTAGTGAGGTGAACATAGAGTCCGTTTGGGTTACTTTGGAATTTGGTAATCACACAGTAACTCGTGTAGGTGTGATTTATAGGCCCCCAGGACAAATTGAAGAGTTAGATAATCTACTAGTTGAGGAAATAGCTAAAATGACAATGAAGGGGGAAGTTATCATCATGGGTGACTTTAATCTTCCTGTTGTAAATTGGAAAACAAAAATAGCTGCTTGTGCCAGGAGCACACATATTCTAAACTCCCTACTGGGATTGTCTCTAAAACAAGTTGTTGAGGAGCCAACTCGTAAAAAGGCCATACTAGATTTAGTGTTAACAAATGGAGATTTGGTATCAGATATTACTGTAGGTGAAAGTTTAGGATCCAGTGATCATCAGTCAGTGTGGTTTAATATAAGAACAGTGACTGAGTCCCACCACACAAAAACAAAAGTTTTAGACTTTAGAAAAACAGACTTTTCTAAAATTAGAATATGTGTAGAGGAGTCATTATCAGACTGGAGCAATTTAAATGGAGTCCAAGAGAAATGGAATTATTTAAAAGTTGCACTACTGAAGGCAACAGAAAATTGCATTAGGCTTGTCAGTAAAAGCAACAAATTCAAGAAACCACTGTGGT